TAGGGTGCGACCCACACTTCAACAAATAGGAAAAAACTGCTTACATCCCAAAGTCAAGTTTGTAAGACATCAAAGTAGGGAGGATGCAAAGAGGACTAAATGAACTGTTTCCAGAGATGGAATATCTCTTAGGAAAGATGAGACCAATGGTTTTCTTCATGGCAGCATGTGCCAAATCTGTGTACACAGTAAAGATTAAGCTTGACTTAAGGAAAGAACTCCTCTAGAAGAAACAAAAACCCTGAGAGCTTTGGGTGGTCAACGGCAGTGTAATCTAAAGGAGCCCCAAACGTGAGTGCTAACGTGGTGCAGAGCAGAGCAGAAACTCCTGTTTCTCACATTCTTAAGAGATAAAGTCCCTCTCAAGGGAGAGGTCTTCAACAAAACAGGACACGTATGTACTTTAGAGAAGGACTAACTTTCAACTTGCGGTGGAATTCAACACCTATGTGGCTAAATTCCCACTTGTACTGAGTTGATTCATTCTCAGTGTATCTGCATAAGTGAAAAGGGCAAATCTTGTCTGGGAGGAAAATAACATCAACCTCTCTCTCTACGGTTCTAAAATGTATAGATATGAGATATATGAAGAAACTGGAAAATATGACAAAAGAAAATGAAAAAACAATCAGATGATATAAGGATACTTCCCCTCTCCCCAGCCATGGATATCACTAGAATAAGCAGATAAAAACTTTAAAATAATTAACAAATAAATTTAAATAAAAGCAAATAAACAAAGAGCAGAATGAAAGACAGAATTTCAACATATAATTAGAATAAATATAAAAATCAAATGAAACATTCTATAACTGAAAAATATAAAATATATGATTTAAAAATTCTATAATGTGTTAAGTAGCTGACTGGACACAAAAAAGAAATTATTAGTGGACACAGAGACAGAAAAAATCAACTTGAAAACAGAAAGAAGTGGAAAGAAAATAACTAAGTATTAATGAATATATGGCAAAAATTAATATACGTGGGCAGATACATGTGGAAATAAAATCTCAGAAAAAGAAAAAAGGGACAAAGACAATATTTGAAGTGCTATGGATAAGGATTTTTCCAAATCTAATGAAGGTAACAGCCAGAGGTCCAAGAAGTCCAGTCAACCTCAAGAAAGACAGATACAAATTAACCATATTTGACAAAACATATTTAAAGGTCTCAAAAAAAAAAGAGAGAGAGAGAGAGAGAGGAGACAGATTTTTAAACCAGGCATAGAAAAAAGACACATCTTCTTCAAAAAGCAAGAATGAGATTTATGGATAATTTCATAAGACAAAGGCAATGGAATGGCATCTTTAAAGTGATAAAAGAAAAAGAGGGAAGAAATTAAAACTGCCAACCTAAATCCTGAAAATATTTTTCAAAAATAAAGAAGATATAAAAATATTTTTCGACCCTCCTCAAAAAATTTTGCATCTGACAAACCAACACTACAAAATATATTAATGGAATTTTTCAAACCATATGGTAAATGGTCAAAAATGAAAACATGAAAGAAAGAGCACTAAAATAGTTAAATATGCAAGGAAATTTTAAAAATATTGATGTCTTTAAAACAATAGTAATAACTATTACTTCTAGAGTATATAACAGTACATGTACAATATATGACAATAAATATCCAAGGAAGGGAGTGGTAAATCAAGTAAAAGTGCTATGAGAGTTTTGCATTCTTCAAGACATGATAAAAGGACTAAATGTAATAAGTCATAGATATATGTTAAAATCACTAAGATAATCACTATATAAAAGAAAAAAATAAAAATATTAACTGAAAAAAGACATAAGACGGAATAAAAATTACTGAGTGATCCATCGGAAAGCAGGAAAGAAGTAAAAAAAAAAAATGAGACTTTTTAAATAAAGCAAGATGGTAGACTTAAATCCATGCATTCATTATAACCATAGCTATAGTTAATGTAAATTGACTAAAGACCTCAAATAAAAGACATATTATCCAACTGTATTAAAACATAAGCCCAACTATATACTATTTACAAGAGACACTATTAAAAAAATGAATCTGTATAAATATAAGGGGTACAAGTGTAATTTTGTTACATGGATATATTGCATAGTGGTAAAGTCTAGGCTTTTAGTGTAACCATCATTCAATAATGTACATTGTACTCATTAAGTGATTTCTCATCCCTCACACCCCCTACCCTCTCGCCCTTTCCAGTTTCCAATGTATTATTCCACATTCTATGTCTATGTGTACACATCATTTAGCTTCCATACAATAAAAATGTTAAATATAAGGACATGAATGGGTCAAGAGATAAAGGATAGGGAAAATATACTAAGCATATACAAACAAAAGAAAGCTGGAGTTACTGTCTTAAAATGAGACAAAGCAGGGCTGGAGCAAGGGCAAGGAAGTCAAGCGCAAATACCATGAGAGTGAATGCCTCATAGGATGAGGCATGTAGGACGCAAAATTTAAGGGGGAGCTTATTCTCAGCTTCCTACAACTGCAGACTCAGAATCAGAGAGTAAGCATCTCCTTAAATTTTGCTCTGTAGTTCTGACCCTGGGACAAAGTAGTCTCTAAAACAAAATGTATTATTAAACATAAAAAGGAATATTTCATGACAATAAAATAATTCTAATCTTAAATATGTATTTGTCGAAAAACAGAGAACACACATACACACACATATCAATTAGGAAAATCCATAATCATAGATGGATGTTTTAATAGACAACTCTCAATGACAGATAAAGTTAAAATACAGAAGCTTTAAACTACATCTAAATGATAGTTCCAAAATACTACACCCAGAAATGGTAGAACACACATTTTACACATAGATATGGAATATTCATCAAAACAGAATATATTCTAGACAATAAAGCAAGTAGGAATATATTTCAAAGGTTTAAAATCATACAGACTATTTTGTCCAGCCACAGTATAATTATACTAGAAATCATACCAAAAAGGTAATTAGAAAATCACCAAATGTTTGGAAATTAGGAAGCACAACTTCTAAATAACCAATGGTTCAAATACAAAAATACAATAGAAATAAGAAAATATAGTAAAGCCAATAATAACTTAAAATTAAATTAAAGTGGACATAAAATGCTTATGCTATTAGCACATATTGTTTAGGCTATCCAATCAAAGTAGCATTAATGTGTAATTAATTAATAGGTGCTAGAAACCTAGATCAATTTTACTTAACAACATGGTTTAGAAACACATTTTAGAAATACAACAATACAATGAATTTCATTTTTTGGTTATGACTCCACTGTTTGACAGAGCCATTTTAAATCGTTGATTAGGTCACTTCCAGTTATTTTTTGGGAAAGGGTCCTACCATGAGCAATTAAAATGTGTACTTTCATAAGAATATCTATAAATTCCTAGCACTAGAATACTTAGAATTTCTGGTGTCCTTCTTCATAGTTCACAGGTATAGGAAATTTTATTTTTCAAAATAACTTTCTTAAAGTATAATTTATAGAAAATAAAATTTGTCCATTTCAGCTGTACAATCTAATGAGTTTGACAGAGATATATTTATATACATAAGTATTTATACAAGGAGATGTCTATATAGAGAGAGATAGATCTATATCCGTGTAACCACTATCACAGTTAAGATGTAGAATGTTTGCATCATTGTAAAAACTTCCTTTGTGTCCCTTCCCAGTCAATCACCTCCTTGCACCCCAGGTATCGCTTCCCTGTTTTCTTTCACTGTGTATTAGATATTTCTTTTCTAGAATTTCCTATACATTTAATCATAGATTAGAAGTTCCTCTGTGCCTGGGTTCTTTTTCTTAGCTCATCATTATGTTATTGCATTTATCAACAATTTCTTTCTATTGCAGTAGAATTCAGTTATATGGATATACTATAATTTGCATCTCCATTTACCTGCTGAATTTTGATTGCTCCTGTTTGGAGGCTATTATGAACACAGATGCCCAAATCACTCATGTGTAAGTTACCATGTGACACATTTTAATACTTCCTATGCACAACTGTACAGTAAAACTATTTATTGACTCAATTGTTAATGGATCTATGGTTGTTTCTAGTTTGGGGCTATTGCAAGAAAATCTGCTACATACATCCTTGTATAATTTTTTATATGGTTTTACTTTACTTGGTTAAATACCAAGTGGAATTGCTAAGTCATATGGTAAGGATATGTTTAACAACATAAGAAACTGTCACACTCTGTTTCCAAAGTTAATGTACCATTTTATATTATTGCTGGTGATGTATGAGAATTCCAGTTTTTCCATATCTATGCCAACACTTAGTGAATCAACTTTTAAATTTTAGCCATTGTAGTGGATGTGTAGTGATTTTGTTTGTCCCCAGTGTTATCTTACCACGTTTATTGGCTATTACTATATTTTCTTTTATGAAATATCTATTACAATCTTATGACCAAATTTTAACTAGGTATTTTCTGTTATATTATTATTTAGTTTTAAGAGTTGCTCATAAACTCTAGATACAAGTCTTCTGTTAAATATATGTACTATAGGTATATTTTCTCAGTTTGTGATTTGACTTTTCAATTCTTGATGACATGTAAGAATAGAAAATTTTAATGTTATTGACATTCTGTTTATCAACTTTTTCATGATTCATGCTTTCTATTTCATATGTAGGGAATCTTTGCCTACAGGAGGATCACAAATATCTTCTCCCATCCTGTTTCCCACAAATTTGTAGTTTGAGCTTTGAGGTCTTACATTTAGATTTATGACAATTTCAAGTTAATTTTTGTGTATGGTGTGAAGTAAAGGTATCCCAATATCTTCGGGATTTCTGGTGTTCTGCATAGGCTTACCTTTTCAGTGCCCTTTGCTGCAACTTCAGCCTCCTTCCCAAACTCTTCAACTCTGATATGTATCTTCTCTATAAGACAAGGCCATATGCTCTATTTGGGACTCTACACTGTGTTCTTGCATGTGGTCTCTCAATAGAAATGCAGGATGACTATAGACTTTACCTGGTTTAACTCCTTCTCTCAGAGATCAGTGTTCCTCTGCATAGTTTCAAAGTCTGAAACTATTATTTCATTTAATTTTTCCATCTCCCTGTGGAAAAAAGGTAATTCCATTCATTATAATCATGGCTGTAAATGCAAGTCTATGTGCCCTGCAATTTAATCAATATCACTCTCAAAATGTACTCCACAAACAGGCCTATCATGAGCAACAGACACATTTACTAGCACTGCTTATCATTATTTAAATATTTTTCTGGTAAGACAGTATAAAGTTTCCTAGGGCTGCCATAACAAATATCACAAACTGCATGGCTTGAAAACAACAAAATGTTATTGTCTCACAGTTTTAGAGATTAGAAGTCTCGCAGTTTTAGAGATTAGAAGTTTTAGAGATTAGAAGAACTCATATCAAAATATGAGTTGGGTATGTTCCCTCTAAAATATGCAGGATAATCCTTCATTGTCTCTTTGTAGGTTCTGCTGGTTTGCTGTCAATCTTTGACGTTCGTTGACTTGTAGCCACATAACTCCAATCACTGCCTTGGTCATCACATAGCATTTTCCTTGTGTTTCTGTGTCTTTATATGGCCCTTTTCTTATAAGGATACCAGTAATATTGTATTAAGAGACTACTCTATTCCCATGTGATGTCACATTATCAGATTATATATCCAACAACTTTATTTCCAAATACGGTCACATTCTGAGGTACAGGAGTTTAGAGCTCCAGCATACCTCTTTTGGAGGGGGGGCCACAATTCAACTGATTACAGATAGGTAGAAATGACATGTTGTTATTCTGATTTATGTTTATTTAAATGTGATTAAGATAGAATTTATTTTCATGTTTGTTGGTTATTTTTATTTTATTTTCTATTGTCTATGTCCTGTCTTATTTTTCAATTGAGTTGTACATCGTTATATTCTGAAGGAACTCTTCACAAAGTAAGGAATTAAATCTTTTGTACATCATGTATGTTTAGTATTTCTTCAGTTTGTCATTTGTCTTTTGACTTCATATAAATTCAAATAAGTAATTCTGTCTTCTAGATAATTTTGAATTCTACATAAGCAAATGTATCCTTTCTGTTTAGTTTTGCTTTGTTTCTAGGTGTTAAGTCTTAATTTCAAAGACTTCTCCTACCCTTGAGTTAATGAATAAAATTACTTGTATTTTTTAATTAAACATTTTATCCACTTATAATTTACTTTGATGTCAAGGTATAACATCCCCTTTTACATTCAAAGTTATAAATAGCCAATTGCCCTGTTACATTTGTTGAATAATATAAGTTCCCTTTATTTTGAAGAGATTGTCACTTTCTTCTTTTGTTCATTTTATTTTTCTTTATTTCTTTTCTTTTCTTTTTTTGAAATAGGGTCTCACTGTGTTGCCCAGGCTGGATTCAAAATCTGGGGCTCAGGTGATCCTCCCACCTCAGCCTCCCAAGTAGCTGGGACTACACGCATGTGCTGCTAAGCCTATCTGGTCCATTTTCTATTTCCTCTGTAGTATTAAGTTTGTAATTTTCTCACTTAAACATGCGAAAGGACTATATGCTCGTTAAATTCTTATCTTAAATATTCCAAATAAATTTGATTATCACTTTGTCAAGTCATAAAATATCCTGCTGGTATTAAGTTTGATATTTCACTGAATTCAAATACATAGAGAACTGACACTCTTAAAATCATAACCCCCTAGCATACAAATCATGGTCTCCAGATACCCCACTTTCTTAATAAAAGAAAGTAGGGTTCCTTAGACACACAGTTGATTATAAGTATGAAACAAAATTAAAAAAATGAATAAGGGGATCCCAGACATCTTTTCAGAGCAGGTAGCAAGGCAGTAAGTAAAGCTTATTAGAGTTGTGTCAGAAGCACTTATGAGCGAATTTTGAATAGGCTGCCATCAGCCAAAATTAAAACAATCTAAGTATCAAGAAGAAGAATTCTAATGGATTCTAATATATAAAACCAAACAATAACTGTGATAACAACAAATAACTTGGTCACCATTGGAGAATGATAACAATGATTACTTTCCGATCCCAATGCCTTGACTTTTCTGTTCTTTATAAGATTGCCGGAATAGTATCACCAGCATTCTTATCTCTCTGATTGTAAACAAACAAGAAGGGATAAGTGGTATCAGTTACTAGCCAATTTAGTTGATTTAGATAATTATATTTGAGACTATTGAACTGGTGAAGTATAGACAAACTTTTTGGACTTTGAGTTCATGTTATAATGGGATGGGACTTTGGTGGATGGATGTTGCATTTTGTTATGTGGTCAGATGTGAATTTGAGGGGTTGCAGAACCATTTTAGTAGGCAAAATAAAGGCCTCTTCAAATTCTTGGAACTTGTGAATAGTTACCTTATATGGCAAAAGGGACTTTGCAGATATGAGAAGTTTACAGGGTTTGAAATGGAGATTATGTTGAATTGTCTAGATAGGTCCAGTATAATCACATGACATCTAAGATTTGGAAGAGCAATGCAGAAAGATGTCCTCTGTGAAGGACATCTTCCTGGCTTTGAAGATGGAGAAAGAGGGTCTCTGAGCTAAGAAATGTGTATGGTCTCAGAAACTGGAAACAGCTCTCAGGTTACAGCCAGCAAGAAAATGAAGACCTGAGCCCTACAACTGCAAGAAAATGAATTCCGCCAATAACTCGAATTAGCAGGAAATGGATTCTCCCCTAGAACCTCCAGAAAGGAATGCAGCTCTGCTAACAACTTGATTTTACTTCAGTGAGAACCATACCAGATTTCTGATATACAGAACTGTAAAAATAATAGACTTGTGTTGGTTTCAGGCATTAAATTTGTGGTAATTTGTTAAGGCAGAAATAGAAAATGAATACAACCTATTAAGTTCAACCTTAATTCTAAAGGCCTTCTACTCTGAAATCACATTATTTTTATCTGCTTCTTGAACAAATCAGGATCTTAAAAGCAAGGAGAAAGCAGTGGCTGGCATGGAGAATGCCAATGACCAGTTCCTGCCACAATCGACTAATCTTGATCTGGTTTAAGACTCTAGTTCTGTCTCTCAGAATTCTACTTCATGCTTTATGATCCAGCACTTTCTAATCTATGGGATAGATGATCTCTTGCTTCTATGCTCTTGGTAATTCAGTTCCTCTGCCTGGAACACTTCCGGCCTATTGCCCATTACAATTAATACTTAAGAACTAAGTGCTTGAATTCTTCACTCTTCATAAGAATCTTACTGAACAGCACTCATTACAGATACTCACTTTTTATACTTTACATTATGAAATACTTAAAAATGCACAAAAGTAGAGAGAATATTACAATGGATCCCTATCAGCCAGAATTCAGCTTCCATAATCAAAATTAACATTAAGTCAGATAGAAATAAACAGCGATGTATTCCCACAGCAGGCTAATGCATTGTCAACAGGGATGGTTTGATTTACTATCTAAGCTGAGGAAATGGATTCAGTTTTCCAGGATCTACTTGTCGTGAGCTCTAACAGCAAAAATGGCAAAACCACTCTCAGAGGAGCCATTAAATGCGACCAGTGACCAAGATATGAGAAAAATCCTACTGCAGACTAGAACCTGAACATGTCACAAGTGTCCTAAAATGGCTGTCACGTTACAGGACTTGTCCATAAGGTGAATTCTGGCCACTTAAACCTCACCTGAAGATAGAGGTAAGGGTTTTCTTTTTAATTTCTTTTTTTTTTCTTTGTTTTTAATTGCCCACTTCAGTGTTAGCATAGAGAAAATGTGTTCCTGCTCTCTTGAATAAATCGAATTGACTGAAGAATGCTTGAATTCATTTATCCCAAAACAAAGGCAGAGGACTGAGGGTCACTGGAGTTTCAAGGCTGTTCCCAGCACTGCGAGCAGAAGCGTCAGAGCCCACCTCCCTTGGGCCCCGCACTGCGACAGGGACTCTTCTACGGAGGATGGCTGGGGCGTGGGGAGGCTATAGAAACGCCATTGAGAAGCTAGATCTTAGGCAAAGGAATGCGCTTTAAAAAGAATTGAAACGAAAGAACACAAACTCGAATCCTGGACCTGATTAGGGGCGCAACCACAGAAAGAGATAACGAATGGTTCTCATTCTTCCTTTCATTACCTCCAGCGGAAAAAGGAAGGCCGGAACTACGCTTCCCGGAATGCAGAGCGCGGGGCGGGGCTAAAAAGACAGCGTGTTTTTCTCAAGTAGGCTCGCGTGACAACAGGTTTGATTATAAACGCTTTTCCTTGCCACGGCGCTAATACCTCTCAGCCTGACTGGTCCGGGCCGCAGTGCGTGGGAAGGCGGCTCAGTTGTCACCGGCCACAGTTGAATGGAGGCTCTTTACCCCGCACCCTCATGGTAGATGAAGTCCTTGCTTTGGACAGAGCGATAGCTTCTCCGAGTGCCTCCAAGCAAGCGGACTACATTTCCCAGGGGTCTGCGGGACTGCCGGGCGGCGTGGGGGCGGTGCCTCACGTCTGGTACAGTCATCCCAAGCCAGTTCGGCGGGACTGTGATGGCCAGAGAGATGACGATCTTAGGTGGGTTCCCGCGGGTCCTTGTTGCTCTTGCGGGCGTAGAGGCGGCCTGAGGATGCCAGCGTGGGCAGGGGTAGTAGACTCACCGCCTGGATCCGGCTGAGCGGCGGGAGGGGAATCGCTAAGGTGACTTAGAGGCGGTTTTCGGCTGTTCAGAACGAATGGGGGTGGGGACGCCTCTAGGAGGGCCCCGGCCCCTGCCGGCCAAGGTAGGGTAGGCGCGGGCGACCAGCAGTGTCATCCCACCGACGTCAGACTTAGGGAAGCGTTCCTTTTAACAGCACCTAGGGTTGTGAATTGCCTGTTGAATTGGAGCAAGCTGTGGAAGGCGGCGAGAACGTGCACCTCCAGGGCCCCTTTGTGGAGGAAGGGGGAGGAGCTGCATCCGGAGCTGTCTGCTCTTGGGTTCTGAATTTGGAGGGATTCAGGACTCTGATGTATAGCTCGATCGACGCTATTTCCATCAAATCGGGTTCGGAATTACCTATCCCCCATCCCCACATACCCCCACCCCGCGACTCGAAGGTGATGAAATGCTTCTGAAATGTTGCCCGGAGCTGGAAGGGGAAAGTAGGATTTGCATTTGGTTTTATTTCTTTGAGTTATGTGTTGATCAGAATGAGCTAACAATCAGTAACATGGAGACCTGAAAATTGACGTTTTGGGTAGTATGTAATATGAGTGGAAATAGGTATATAACACAGCCTTCTGATACCAAATACGAAATTAATTCAAAATCCAAAGGGCAATCTTTCTTCACTTATGTTTACAATCTGCGTGGCATTTGTTCCTACTCTTTTTTTTTTCTTTTTTTTTTTAAATCAGTACTTGTTGATCATCTCCTGTTCCTGGCCTGGGGGATACAACAGTGAACAAAACTTGTCTTCAAGAAGCTTTCATAGATGTTGTCGTCAGGATTGCCCACTTTTATGCTTCTTCTCTCTTAAATATTATCATTGCAAGAAGGATGGCCCTGGTTCATACTTACATACATAAAAAGTTAACTATTTTATGAAGTGACAGTTTTAATACCTTTGCAACTTTCAAAATTATTTTATCCAATTTATTCATTTCATCCTTTTGAAAGGGAGAAGAAGGTGGGATAGGAGGAGAGAGTTTTAGCCTTACAATAATAAAGTTTTTGTTGTGAGGATTTTAATAGTGGAGTTTAAAAAAATAATTGAAACTGTTTTTATAAAGCTGTAAAATCTAAATATTAATTGATCAATAATATTAGACTATATCTGGCTTTTGCTCCAGATAAATGTTGTTTCCTGTCAGCATCCACACAAATAATTTTGAAATATTTTTACATTTTATTTCTTCATTCACTCATTAGAGAATGACACAAACATACAGTTATAGAGCTTTTTTGTTGCTTGTGTTGTTACTTCATTTTAAATTGTATTTTACAATTTACATTTTGAAAAACCTCCTGAGAGGAGTGTTATCAGTAGTCCTATAAAAAATTTTGATATGTATCTTTTTTAGCTTTGTTTCAACGAGTGATATTAAAGGGTCTTTGCTACAGTAATCTAGCACATTGTACTAGTTTGATAAAATACATCTTTTAATTTTCCTGTATTTCAGGATCAGCTGTTTTGACTCTCCTGTTGGCTGGCTATTTGGCACAACAGTATTTACCATTGCCTACTCCTAAAGTGATTGGCATTGATCTTGGCACCACCTATTGTTCCGTTGGGGTATTTTTTCCTGGCACAGGAAAAGTAAAGGTGATTCCAGATGAAAATGGGCATATCAGCATACCCAGCATGGTGTCCTTTACCGACAATGATGTATATGTGGGATATGAAAGCGTAGAGCTGGCAGATTCAAATCCTCAAAACACAATATATGATGCCAAAAGGTTCATAGGCAAGATTTTTACCCCAGAAGAGCTGGAGGCTGAAATTGGCAGATATCCATTTAAGGTAAGTGATTAAAATCTGTGTTAATTTTAGCGTGCTCTTTCAGTTAATGCTTTGGCTTCATGTCACAAAACATTCTATCTCTTCTAGCTTAATCAATTAATACACGAAAGTTCTGTTATCTTACATAACAAATTCCACAGCAGCTCTTGGATGAGTTAATCACTGATTCCAGAAAGCTAACAGTTACTTAAAGACCTTATCATTTTCTTGTTCTCACATCCTCAGCATGCCTGCTTAGCTCTTTCAGGGTAGCAGGAAGGTTGATGAAGCCCTGTGTACCATAGACAGATAATCTCTGTGTGTATGTGTACATATATGTATACATATAAAGAGAACATAATGATGTACTAAAATTATTCTTGTTAATATGTACTAGAAGATTCTTTCAACTATCTATTACTCTTAGAAATGAGTAATTTGGGAAAAAAGGGAGAGGATCCTGAGTTACATATTTGAATGAGCAACTTCTATTTCTTACATTTTGTCATTTATTCTTTCATTTATTCAGCAAATATATATTGAGGATCTTGTGTGTTCTAGTTAATGTGCTTGGTGTTGAATTTTATTCTGTTGTTATTAAAAACTAGTATAGGCCAGGCACAGTGGCTCACACCTGTAATCCCAGCACTTTGGGAGGCCGAGGTAGGCAGATTACCTGAAGTCAGGAGTTCAAGACCAGCCTGTCCAATGTCATGAAACCCCGTCTCTACCAAAAATACAAAAATTAGCTGAGCATGGTGGCTTGTGCCTGTAGTCCCAGCTACTCATGAGGCTGAAGGAGGAGAATTGCTTGAACCTGGGAGGCAGAGGTTGTGGTGAGCTGAGATCACACCACTGCACTCCAGCCTGGGCAACAGAGCTAGACTCCATCTTAAAAAAAAAAAAAAAAAAAACTAATATGGATTCATTTTATAGATTTTATGATACAATATTTAGTAAGTTCTAATCTTGGTGAATATACTGGATAGATTACAAATATGTTTTTGATTTTGTAAAGATGAAGGTAAGTTTTCATTAGGCCTAGTATTTATGTATATATGTATGTCTGTATCTCTCTCTCTCTTATACATATATATATACACACACGTATATATATATACACACACATATATATATATACACACACATATATATACACACATACTTTTACTCTTTTATTTATTTACTTATTTGCAAATCCTCTTCACAGGTTTTAAACAAAAATGGAATGGTTGAGTTTTCTGTGACAAGTAATGAGACCATCACAGTGTCCCCAGAATATGTTGGCTCTCGACTATTGTTGAAGTTAAAGGAAATGGCAGAGGAATATCTTGGAATGCCAGTTGCCAATGCTGTCATTTCTGTACCAGCAGAATTTGATCTAAAACAGAGAAATTCAACAATTGAAGCTGCTCACCTTGCAGGTAACAGTACCCTTGACTGAGTTGCCTTTTCTCAAAGTTGTGTTAGATTCAAAACCTTCTGTAGTAAGGTTTATCACTTCCCAAACCACACCATAGTCACAATAAACAAACTATATGGTAGGTGTATTAGGGTTTTCTGGAGGGACGGGACTAATAGGATATATGCGTATATGAAAGGGATTTTATTTAGGTGTATTGACTCACAGGATCACAAGGTAAAGTCTCACACTAGGCTGACTGCAAGCTGAAAAGCAAAGAAGCCAGTCTGAGTCTCCACACCTCAAAAGTAGGGAAGCTTACAGTGCAGCCTTCAGTCTGTGGCCAAACGCCGGAGAGCCCCTGGCAAACCACTGGTGTAGGTCCAAGAGTCCAAAAGCTAAAGAACTTGGAGTCCGATGTTCGGGGGCAGAAAGCATCCAACACGGGAGAAAGATGGAATCCAGAAGACTCAGGCACTCTCATCCTTCCACATTCTTCTGCCTACTTTTATTCTAGCCACGCTCTGGCAGCTGATTAGATGGTACCCACCCAGACTGAGGGTAGGTCTGCCTCTCCCAGTCCTCTGACTCAAATATTAACCTCCTTTGGCAATACCCTCACAAATACACCCAGGAACAATACGTTGCATCCTTCAATCCAGTCAAGATGATAGTATTAACCATCACAATAGGTAAAGTAGATGGCTTTTTATACAGGTCTATAATTTTGAAATCTCTGTAGCACAATATAAAATGTATATGTAACAAGAACCAATGAGATAGCTACAGGACAAAGGCTCAAAGAGAAATGGACACATGTTAGCAGTGAGGAATTATTTCCTTTAAATTTCTTTAATGTTTAGGTCAATATAATTTTTAAAATATGAGGTAGATCATTTAATCGTTTAACATTTAATACCATTGAACCAATACTGAGGGCCTTACTAAAAGAGGAAAGAAATCTTTGTTCTCATGGAGCTTATATTCTACCAGAGAGAAAAACAGAATGAGCATAAAAGGTAAATTTATTAGTGTTTTCAGCCTCTGCAATGCTGATATTTTGGGCCAGATAACTCTTTGTTGTGGAGGTCTGTCTTGTAAACTACAAAATATTTAGCAGCATCCCACACCTCTGTTCACCAAATGCTAACAGCACCCTCCTCCACCAAGTGGTGACAATGAAAAATGTCTCCATATGTTGTTAGATTTCTTCCAGGGGGTAAAATCCTGCCTTGTTGAGAGTCACTGAGACATTGTATATCAGAAAGTAACCTACCATGAGGAAAAATAACAGGATAATGAGTCAAGGTTGCTTTTGGTGGTCAAGGGATGGAGGGCTTGTAGAATTTAAATAGGGTGGTCAGGTCATTGAGAAAGTGACAGTTAAGCACATTTGAAGAAATCAAAATAGTTAACCATGCAGACGCACGGAGAAAGTCTGTTGTAGGAAGAAGAGTTAGCCAGTGTAACAGCTGTAAGCTGGGAGTTTGCTGGTACACAGAGTCTGGGAAGTTCAGTGTGGCCAGAGTAGAGTAAGTGGTAAAATCAGAGAGCTGAAGGGAAGGGTGTTAGGATCTTTGGAAGAATTCTTTAGAGTGTGAATGTTGTGATAGCAACTGATCCATAATGTCATACTACTTTCCAGACCACTCATGGCATTCAGTTTAAAGCAGAAATTTCATTCGAAGAAACCTGATCTTTTACGGGCTTAACATAAGCCTTTCTAATATCCACAGCACTTAGTGATAGTATGTAGTGGTTAAATTTTTATCACTCATTTGTTCCAAAGTAAAATATGATTATTAGAAAAGGCTGGGAGATTTGTTGAAAATTAAGGCTCAATTAATAAAGAGTAAAGTGACCTATTCCACTGAACCTTAGCTATTATTTCTTCATATGATAATCTTTCAGAATAATTTTAAAGACACCATTTAGAAGAGCCTATGTTTATTGTTCCCATTTCATGCTGCTGTTCAATTTGTGACTGCTGTCATTATTACTCAGTGGTGGAGTTCATGTCACAGAAGACACAAACGTGCTGTGAGATTGAGTGGGACAAGATTACTTTATAGCATCCTCTCATGAGTTTTTTTTCCCTTCAACTACTCTTACAGGATTGAAGATTTTGAGGGTAATAAATGAACCCACAGCGGCAGCTATGGCCTATGGCCTCCACAAGGCTGACGTTTTCCATGTCTTGGTAATAGACTTGGGAGGAGGAACGCTAGATGTGTCTTTACTGAATAAACAAGGAGGAATGTTTCTAACCCGAGCAATGTCTGGTAAGAAAAATGTAGGGAGAGTTGAAGAGGTTTAGGCAGCGCTTTCTTTAACATATCCAATGTGTAATGCATCCTTTTTTTTCCCCAGAATTCTTCGACTTCTTTTTGATAATTTTCTGTATGTGTAATTTTATACCACCATTTATATATTTATAGCAAAAAGTTAAATCTCAAAAAATGACTGGGCATCCTATAAGTCAGATAAATACATTGCCAATTACCCAGTTAGGGCTCACTGAACCATCAGGACTTTTGATGGTGATGGTGAAGAAAGGGAACAGAGGAAAGAAAACTTTCTTTAAAATGAAGGGTGATCAGTATATTTCATTTAATACGTTTTATAAAGTAGCTGTCTTTAGAAAATTTAATTGTATTTTTTTTTTTTACTAAGACAATTGGTTTCACTAATGTGGAACAATTAATGCCAGCCGTAAAATGTATAATTAAATGCGTTATTATTACAAGTTCAGATTTGTTCTCTTTTCCCTATATCACCATTTAATTGTATTTTTTCCTAGGAAATGTTAGGATTTTGCATTCTAAATCATTTTTTAAAGGTTTTTGTTTTGTTTAATTTAGCTTAAGGAATTAAACCAGTTTGAGAAGTTGAATTGTAAGGTATAGGTATTCTAACGTCTGCATTTTTTCTTTTTTTTTCTCTTAACCAGACCCTTTTTTGAATCAAGTTAAATACCAGGGATTTATATTACATTTCTCTTTTCCTTGAAATCATTTTTCTAGTTTTCAGGTAGAAAAGTAGAAAGACGTTTTCAGGTCTTAATCAGGCAAGCAAAAAAATGAAAGGAAGAAAAAGAGATTAAATACCTACTTTTTCATTGTAAGAAGAACTTTCTTCTGTTGAGAATGACATTCAGTGCTTTTAAATAGCTACTTGTAAGCGAATCTGTATTCTTAATCTCTGTTCTCTGAAAAAGTATTTGATATTATGAAGAGATGCTTTCTTTTACATAATTTAACCCAGCTATTTTGGTTTTGATTTTTTAAACTTTTATTTATTGATTTATTTTGTAGAGACAGGGTCTTACTATGTTGCCCAGTCCAGTCTCCAACTCCTGGCCTCAAGCAGTCCTCCCACCTCAGCCTCCCAAAGTTCTAGTATTACAGGTGTGAGCTACCATGCCCGGAAACACAGTTATTTTTAACCAATTTTTGTTTGAATAAAATTGTAATAATACACGAAACAGGAATTTGTTATTCCCAGAATACAGTTTTTACATGTATGTAATAACATATGTGTATACATACATATATGCATAAATATATTAAACTTTTTTATTTTTCACTCAGGAAACAATAAACTTGGAGGACAGGACTTCAATCAAAGATTGCTTCAGTACTTATATAAACAGATCTATCAAACGTATGGCTTCATGCCCTCTAGGAAAGAGGAAATCCACAGGTTGAGACAAGCTGTGGAAATGGTCAAATTAAATCTGACTCTTCATCAGTCTGCTCAGTTGTCAGTATTACTAACAGTGGAAGAACAGGACAGGAAGGAACCTCACAGTAGTGACACTGAACTGCCAAAAGACAAACTTTCCTCAGCAGATGACCATCGTGCGAACAGTGGATTTGGACATGGCCTTTCTGATAAGAAAAGTGGAGAAAGTCAGGTTTTATTTGAAACAGAAATATCACGAAAGCTCTTTGATACCCTTAATGAAGACCTCTTTCAGAAAATACTCATACCCATTCAGCAAGTATTGAAAGAAGGCCACCTGGAAAAGACTGAAATTGATGAGGTGGTTTTAGTTGGGGGCTCCACTCGTATTCCTCGGATTCGTCAGGTCATTCGAGAGTTCTTTGGAAAAGATCCCAACACATCTGTAGACCCTGACCTAGCAGTGGTAACGGGAGTGGCTATCCAAGCAGGTATTGATGGAGGCTCTTGGCCTCTCCAAGTCAGTGCTTTAGAAATTCCCAATAAGCATTTACAAAAAACCAACTTCAACTGAATTCTGGAGGAATAATGGTTATTTGTGATCTTGTCTGATGATCTCTTCCCATGTCAGATTACCTTCTCCACAAAAGGAAGTCTCTATGTAAAACATCACAGATTTACCTACAGGGTAACATGTAGATACAGGAAAATTTTACATAACATTTTGTCTTAGGATTAGACATGACCAGATTGATCCTATTTGATTTTGGAGAGATCCTATTCTAACAAATAACTTCTAAAATGATAAAATTGAGGTGCACCTCTCTTAGAAGAGAATGGATGACTATATTTTCTGGATTCTGGAGGTAGATAACCATATGCACTTAACATTATATTCTGTAAACATTAAATAGTGCCAATTATGAGATTCCCAGTTCTTACTAAATTATATTAGCAGGAACTGGTAATTACTTGGTTATCACATGTAACTATTAATTTGAACTATACTTGGACAGCATTGATGTCAGGTATTTACAGTGGCTGGAAGATAGTAGTAGTATTAGTATAAACTGCATACAAAATATTCAATAACTGCTATATTTTATGACAAATTTACATTCACAAATTCAGTATCTTGTTAAGCCTCATATTGTAATCTCCATTGTCTGGGAGTTTTATGTATTTAATAGATAAATTTCACTCCTAAAGGCATACAAATGTTTCAGCACTATATAGTAGAAATACTCAATTTATATTCTAGTTCCTTTATGTCTGTACATCATTCTCTGCTTGGATTTCCATGATTCTTTTTGGTTAGAGAATAATATTACAATTATTAATTGCATTTGAAGAATGTGTTAATGTCATAATAAAGCCATGATTATTATCTCATTTTTGTTATCCAAGACCTTTGAAAACTTTGGCAAATAGTATCAATTACCTGCATATTTGTTTTATATTTTTGTTTCTTTGTTTATGTTTTCAGTAAGCCCTGAGGAATATAGCATGTATTTGAGATATTATATGGTTTTGGTTCTGTTTTACTCAGATTTTTCCTCATATTTAGTTTTGAATGAGGAAAATGTGCTCAATTATAAAAGCCCTGTTATTGTTTTCTATTATTATTTTTAAATAGTCACACTCGGACTATTTTCAACCATTAGGTTAGTTTGTGATAAGAGCAAAAAAATTGTGAATACTGGAAATAATGTAGAAATCTAATGTGGAAGGCGTTGTGGCAGTTTCAGTTTCTACAAATCAGCATTTGTAGCAGAGTTGTTTTTTTGTTTGTTTGTTTCCTTTAAGAAAAACCACAGGGACCAAGACAGAAAATATAACAGTTTGATTTCTATAATTTCCATTTTATTTGAAGATATATGGATACATATATATACACACACACACACACACACACACACGTATATATATACACACATATTTTCCTTAGTAGAAGAATGCTTCATATTGTAACTCAAAAATTATATCTGGTCAACTTTTTTTTTTTTATTGTAAAGTATGTTTGCTTTATCCATTGCTGAATTTGACAGTATGTTAAATTTCCAGTCACCGAAAAAGGAAACTAAGCAAGTTCATTTCAAAAACCTCAAAACATTTCAGCTTCTCATAGTAAAAAGCTGAATATTACTAATATTTTTCATATCTAAAAAAAAATTATTAGCAATGAAATTGCTGTTAAAACACAAATTTCAATCAAATACCTTTGTGTACAGAAAATGTCTGTAGCAGTTAGATAGAAAAGTATAAAATGTTTGTTGAAGTATTTTACTTTAGAACGAATAGAGAAATGCCAAAGATGAATCCTTCACTGCATTAGGAAAATATTCCAGATGTTCTTTTGGACTTTATATAAGTCTTTGGTAGATTGTAGAATTGAAAAAGTCTTTGTGAAGGTCTTCTAAAAGTGTTCAATTTATCTCAGAATCTCCATATATAGGATCAGTTTTAACCTAAAACATTATAATATTAAAAAATAACTTGAGTTTCTCAAATGTTCGAGATGTTCAATACAATCTCTTAGTCCATTAATGCTTTTGGAAACAATTGACAAAGTAGGACAGGCAGCTAATCTCATGTCCTAAAGTTGGAATTTAAATAATTTGTATCTGAAAATTAGAATGACAGTGTTGGATTTTGGGGGCAGTAGTTTAGCATATTCTCTAGTATATAGCTACACCTTTAATAAAATGAAGGAATGTCTTCAATCATCTTAGGAGGCTATTTATAGTCTTAAAATCAATGTAGTTTATTTATTTAAAAGATAATGCATCCTGAAAGGGATCATTTGTGAATAATAATCTGAAGTCTTTTCATAAAACAATTCACTTTAGTTGTACATTTAGCCAGTGTTATTTGAAGTACGTAACTTTTAAAATATTAAGTGTCTTGTATGAGTCAAATATTTGAATGAGTAATTTATTTTGTATCAGGAATGTTTTGGTACTGTGTTTTCACTCAAACCACTGACTTAACAGATACTACTGTGTGTAACATGTACTAAATATTACAGTTATTGTGCGTAACAGATTGTTCCTCTTATATTTGTGTGCATACAGCTAATTCATGTTTTCATGTAAATAAATACCATTTTGCAGTTTGTTTTTTAAACTGTGTATTTCTCATTTGGGACTAGTCTGGAGTACATTTTTCAGGCTTCTAAATAAGAAAGTGAGGATGGAACTGATTTGATGCCCTAGGCACTCAACCTCACTAGCTGATGCCTAGTTCCAGAAATGTGCATTTCTCTGTATCCTTTGTGTTGCTGATATGCTTTCCACTTATTTCTCTAATTTAGAAAAGACAGTTCTTATAGCATATGAACAGCATCTTCAGAATTCTGAATACTAATTCATGGCTTCTGACCATAATGGAGCCAGGAGCTAAACTATGCTAACCTAATCTAGTTAGTTAATAAATAATCCTGCATAACAGGATTTCTTTGGTTGATGCTTAATAAATATTTCTCTAACAAAGTTTATATTAGTCTTTGGATGAAAAAGAAATACTGTGTTTTGCTTCTTTAAGAAATGCATTTGATTAATGTAGTCTTTTAAGATGAGCCTTTTAAATAATGATGGTAGACTTGACCTTGGAGGGACTCAAATATACGAGGAAATACGGCAATACTTCATATTTACCTTAGTTAACAGATAGTGTCTCACTGAGGTAGGCAGCTTCTGATGTAAGACCCAATGATCCCCACTTTGTGGAATTCACACCTTTGTGTAATCCTACTCTCTTGAATTTGGGCAAGAGATAATGAAGTTCTGCCAATGAATAATATGGCAGAAGTGCTGGGATGTCATTTCTGAAACTGGGTTTTAAAAAGACCAGCTTCCTTCTTGGATGCACCCTCTTGCTGACTTGTCTTTCAGAGCCCAGCTGCCATGTAAAAAAGACGACGTAAAGAAGGCTTTTCTGGTGAATACAGGTATAGAAAGACACCCTATAAGAGAGGCCACATGGAGGCCGACAGTTACCCCCCAGTGGTAGGAGACATGTATTTCCAGCTACGGGAGACAGCCTTCTTGAAATGAACCCCTCAGCCTTGGTAAGGCTTGAGATAATGCAACTACAACTGACTGAATGCTAACTCATGAGAGACCTTAATTCTTATTTTGGCAAAAATTATAAACAGTTTGCCTTTCATCAGCTATGTGACTATCAGGTTCCTAATCCACAGAAAATGTGAGATCATTCATTTTTGTTGTTTTGTTTTTCTTTTTTTTTTTTCTTGTACTTTAGGTTCTGGGGTACATGTGCAGATCATGCAGGATTGTTGCATAGGTACATACATGGCAATGTGGTTTGCTGCCTTCATCCCTCCAATACCCGTATCTGGTATTTCTCCCCTCATTATCCATTGCCACCCTCCCCACCCCCATTGTCCCTCCCCCAGCCCCCGACTACTGACCACAGTGTGTGATGATCCCCTCCCTGTGTCCAAGTGTTCTACTTGTTCAACACCCACCTATGAGTGATAACATACGGTGTTTGGTTTTCTGTTCTTGTGTCAGTTTGCTGAGAATGATGGTTTCCAGATTCATCCATGTCCCTATGAAGGACATGAACTCATCGTCAAATTTTTGTTGTTTTAAAGTACTAAACTTTGAATTAGTTTGTTACACAACAGCAGATAATAGTGTTCTTACTATGGCACTGCTCTAAATATTTTACTAATACTAATCAATTTAATTTAGTTCTAGCCACCATATGAGTAGGTACTATTATCTGCATTTTCAAATAGGGAAATTAAGGCATAGATGTGTTAGGCAGTTTTCCCAGGATTACAACTAAGTGAGAGAGTCAGGATTCAAATCCAGTCTATGCTTGTAATCCAAATGCTGGGCTCCCTAATCCGTTACAGAATATAATCCCATAGTACCTTTGCTGTTCCATTATCACACCTAGATAGTATCCATGTAAGGCCTCTTATTTACCAAATAATGTTAACGCTGAAGATTTATGGTATTTATTCCTTTACATTTTTGACAAGCAGGTTTAGAACTTAATTTCTAAATACAAAATGAAATCAATAGCACTTATTTCATTTGGTTTTTGTAAGTGCCTGGCACATGGAAAGCGATATTAGTGCATATGGTAGATACAGAAACAAACAGTGTTCAGTGACTGCCAATTTTATGTGGATTTTATTTATTGTGTTTTGAGATGGAGTCTTGCTCTGTCTCCCGGGCTGAAGTGTAAGTGGTGTGGTCTGCAGACTCCACCTCCCAGGTTCTGGCAATTCTCCTGCCTCAGCCACCTGAGTAGCTGGAATTACAGGCACATTCCACCACATCTGGCTAAATTTTGTATTTTTAGTAGACACAATGTTTTGCCATGTTAGCCAGGCTGACCTCGAACTCCTGACCTCAGATGATCCGCCCACCTCGGCCTCCCAAAGTCTAGGATTACAGGAATAAGCCACTACAATTGGCCTTATGTGGTTTTATTAAGGATGCCACAAGTGGGTTATATTACCTAATATCCTTAGAGCCTAATTCAATGGGTCTAGAATTTCTGTAAATTGTTGAGAGTTTTTCTGATGAAATATGTAAAAAAGTTTGATTCGGTAAAGCATTTACTTTGTTTTGACAAGAATTATAAACAGTTTGCCTTACATTAAGTTTTTTAGATTTTAAAGCAGGAATACATGCAATTTGTTTGATACTTCATGAACTACCTATTAATTGGCTTACCTAAAATACCTAAAAAATTTCAAATGCTCTAACACTTGTAACTCTGTAACTTATTTTATATTTATACATATGTATATGTGTATGTGTGTATAAACTCAGGCTTTTTAAAAAATTACATGTTTGGATTGTACAAACTCTTTTGAACTACAGACTAATTTTAAGTGACTTCTAGGAATGAGACATCTTGGTAGAGAACTAGGAAGAGCATCATCAGCTTTGTAGTCACATAGACCTGGATTCTGTGTCTTATTGTCCCAGCTCCTCTTGGAATCTTAGTATCATATTTGGTAGACAGAGTGGATAATGCCTTTCTTACATATTTAGTGAGGATTGAAAGTGATACATGTTCCAAATGTATAGCACATTACCTGGCACATCCTGGGCTTTCAATAATAAACATTCTCATTATCCTCAAAGAAAGCAACTTAATGCTACTTAGCATTTTTCTCTATCAGCTATGGTAAATATTTTGTATATTTAAATTTATCCTTATTTTATTAATCTATTTTGAAGTTAAAATCTTTAAACAAATCATACAATCATGGAATAACCGTTTTATTACAAATGTGCTACCTTTCTGTAATACAATCATTTTGAGTACTTTTCACTTTGTTTCTAGTATACATTAATAATTGAACAAGTTCAATGTACATAATTGAAATAAGAATAAAATAT